TTAGGAACAAATGATGATTATTCTGCTAATTCAGACTTTGTTTAACCTTTAAAATAAATCATTCTAGTTAAGTATTTAGACAGAATATAAAACAAAATAATTTATGAGCATTTCAATGTAGATGAAAAATGTACTAAAATATTCACTACTTCATCATATTGAAAACACTCAGCAAAATGGGAGCTGAACGGAGCCTCCTTGACCAGATGAAGGTCATGTATGTGAAACCTACAACTAATAGTACAATTAATTATAAAAATAGGTGACTGGAAAGAGCAAATATGATCCAATGCTATCATGACAATTCAGTATTTTGCTTGTAGTCCAAGTGAAATGATTCAGGGAAAAGAAATAAACATAATAAAAAAGTAAGCACATTTTTAGGCAATATGCTTGCATATGTTAAAATTTCTCAGGACATAAAAATAAGTACAAGACATAATAAATGCACTTAACAAAGAGGTAATGCCTGAAATCAGGAAAGTCAACTTTACAAAACAGCAAAAATGAGATTATGGAATTTAATAAAAACAATCCCACTTGTATAGCCTCAAATACATGAAGTATTTTGTAGAAGATATGCAAACACTCTACAATTAAAAGGTAAAACACTTAAACTCAAGACTCTCAGAAATGGAGCAGTGTACTGTATGCAAGGGTCAGAGGCCTTAAAACTGCTAAGATGACAAGTCCTCCTGAATCAACCCGAAGACGGGGAACTGCTTCAACTGAAACCTCATGTCAGTTTCTGGGTAGAAATTGACAAACAGATGTTACAATTTTTTATAAAGATACAAATTACACAGAATAGGCAAACTGAATTTGGAAAAGATAAACAATGTTGGAGAACTCAAATTGACTGATTTCAAGATTTACTATACAATTATAGCAATCACAGCTCACAAGAATATGACCTATCTTTATATGGTTGAAGTCTGATAAATTTGCCAAGGTAATATAATATGATCAGTGCTTTGGGATGGTCTTTTTGTATGCTGTGAATATGTGTTGCTACTACTGGTTAATAATGAAGCTGTTTTGACCTATGGCAGCACAGTTTATAGCCAGGTGGGAAATCCAAGCAAAGATACAGAGAGAAGAAAGACAGAGTTGGGGAGATGCTGCAAGCCGCCAGGAGAGCAAGATGTAATAGAACACATGTTGTGATACATAGATGAATAGAAACGGGTTAATTTAGATATAATAGCTAGCTAGCAATAAGCCTGAGCCATAGACCAAACAGTTTGTAATTAATATTAAGCCTCTGAGTGATTATTTTATAAAAACAGCTGCTGCTCAGGTGGGACCAGGCGGGACCAAGAAACTTCAGTCCACAGGGCAGAGATGGTCATTTCAATAAACAACTCTGGAACAACTGGATGCTGGCATGCAAAATAATTAATAAGAGCTGAAATCTAAAAAGAACCCAACTGTCCATCAATAATGGCAAAAGTGGCATAGTCTTACAATTAAATGTTACTCAGAAGTAGTGGAACAACTGATTAATAAGATAACCAAAAGAGGCAGGCAAGAGAGGGTGTTTTTAACTCGGCTTAGGCAAAATTCATGAATAGGAAAACAATTATGTTGCCAGGTATCAGAGCAATGGATCTTTCTGGGAAGGCATAGTCATTTGTTTAAAAGGCACAAGAAGGATCATTCTGAAACAGTGGAAATGTTCTGTCTTGATAGGTGTATATATCATACAAGTGTCTCTTGCTACCAAAACCATCCTATCCACATATTCTTTGGAACACTGTGCTTCTTCTGTGCATAATTTAAATAATCATGCTATTGCCAGTTAAAATATTTTATTGTCTAGACAGCAGGCACTAAACAAGATTAAAAGCTTTTCTATTTGCTAAAGAGATAAAATACAAAATATACTTACCATTTACCAGATCTTGAGACTACTGCTTTCAAAGTTGTGAGACATGTACATGAAGGGAAGAGTTGAAAGAATGCAGAGGTCAGTGTGTATAGAGGGAGATGAGAAGACAGCTAAGTTTGATTGAATAAAGATAAACATAACTTTGGAGGAACTCAGTATTATTCTGTCCTTGTTTAATTTTTTCCAATTAGGGCTTCTATGCCCTTTCAGGAAGATAGAGTGCTGTTGGATGGGGATATAGCTTGGTTGATAGAATCCTTGTCTAGGATGCATGAAATCCAGGTTTTGTCACTGGCACCTTCTAAATTGAGTGGTACATGCAAGTAATTCCAGACACTAGGAGATAGAGGCAGTAGGATCAGTTACCACCAGTTGCCTCGCTAGTTTGGAGCCAGCCTGGGTTACATAAGACTCTGTCACAAATAAAAGCAGCAGCAGCAGCAATAACAACAAAACACAGTACAGGAACAGACAAAAGTTTCCCATGTCTCACATGACGAGGAAGTAAAGGAATTATTTGTAGGTTGCCCTTTAATCTATAGACTGGGAAATTTTTTCCCAGGTTCTCTCTCTCTCTCTCTCTCTCTCTCTCTCTCTCTCTCTCTCTCTCTCTCTCTCTACTAGACAAATGGTACATAGAAGGAAATTATCTTTCATGTAGAAGAAAATTATCTTTCATATCCATTGTGCTATAAATTTGTGTATCATGAGGTTCTATGGATATAACCCAAACTGATTGATCTACGTTAAGTGACTGTTATGGATGTTTTGGAGGCAGGACCTACTGTAATTACCACCATTCCAAGAGTCATTTGGCTTCCATGAGCTCAATTTCCAAAGCAATCCTTTCTCATGGTTTAAAACATGCAAGAAAAATGTATAGGGACCTGTGAACCTTGCCTATACAACAGAGCTGAGGAGAGACCAACAGACCTCAGGGCACAGGTTTTCCTAATCTAGTCTTCCTCCAAATAACCTGTGCTTCTACTTTGTAACTTCATAATCCCCACTCTGATCAAGTTTTTTAAATTTTAAAAATAAATTATATGAAATTTCATTATGATAGCTCATCCTACCTGAATGAAGATGATTAATGTGTATGTTATTTTTCTTGTGTGCTTGGGGGTGTCTTAAAATAATCTACAGGAGATTCATTGTTACTTTGTAATGTTCTCTATAATCAACACGTTAAAGATTCTTTGACATTGAAATATAGCATGAAAATCAAACAGTGAGAACTTGGAGAGACACTAGCAGATTTACTTTATTTCTTATTGCTGTGTTAAATGTTCTTTGATCTTTCTTGATACCATTTTGGGAACTTAGAGAATTTGTTGGTAATATTCAGTGAATCTACTTTTCTGTTCACACTTGACTTTTAGTTACAAAGAATCCTGCTGGATTCTAAACTAAAAAAAAAAAAAATAAAATCCCATCTCATCTCCTGCCCAGTGCAAATCTCTCTTCTGTTTCCATCCTTCCATCCCCTACCTGCTTCCTACATAGCTCAGCTGTAGCACTTCTGTGGAGAGAATTAGTCTCAGCACAAATCAGTTAGCACCTATTTACAAATCTGAATACAGGGTTGTCTGGTTGACAACCTGAAAATCAACCATGGTGGGAATACTTGTAACAGGAATCAGTACCATTGTGAATTAAGATTTTATCCTCAAGGGCATACTACAAGTTGGAGAAACCATGGGGAAAGGCATGGATTTGGTGTTGTATCTCTCCAATTTTCTTCTTTCCCTGCCTCTTTTTCTTGGCAGAAAATGGATTAAGACTTAGAAGATGAAGAGAGAATGTGTCACCTTACTGGTACTATTACATTCTGGCTGTTGGTACTGTCAAAATGGCTGCTACCTGTTGCTGGCTTTCTTTTAGAGAACTCTCATGGACTCTGAAAAGCCTTTCTAGGTCTCCACTGTACTCAGTTCTCTGGCATTGGTACTCAGTCTCTTGGTAGAACTTTTGAGTCGATATCTTTTGACCCCTGCAGTCATGGCCATAGCTTCTTTCTAATAAGGCTTCTTTGCCTGGTAGACATTATTTGGTAGATAGAGTCCATGAAGGACATCATAATCCCTCCTTCCCCCCTCCTTCCCTTCCCAGCACTGACTTAAGAGTACTCATGCATTTTGCCTACAGCAGAGAAGAGTTGAGTCACCTGTATTCTTGCCCTTTCTGTTTTCTTCTTTCTATATGGAACTACTCCACACACTCTAGAATTGCTCTAGATAGATTCCCATGTCTAAAATGCTCTAGGCTATGAATGGACACTGTCTCTGTTTCTGCTTACTTTATGTGAGGGGGTTCTGCAACACTCTTGCAGCCTTCCTCACTGTGAACCTGCGGCCCCAAGGTGGGCCCACTGACCTGGAACCATACTTTCTAGAAGGAGAATTTGTCCTGCTTATAGTGTCCATGAATTTCAGTTTGTTGTTTTATGTGTTCTACAGATGAGGTAACTGAGGCACAACATTGTTAAGTGACTTGCACAAAGTTAAGCAGTTGCTAAGTGGCACTGCTGAGGTTTAGCCAAGTGTGGTTTAGCTGCACTAGTTATGTTTCTACCCAGGAACCTCTGTTTTCCCTATGAGTTAGTTGGTAGAAGCTGTCAAGTATGTATGTATTTGTTAATACTCATTGAGCACCTATAAGCAGGCCTCAGGATCTACACCAAGTACTGTGTATATACCCTCATTAATAATTATAAATCTACAGGACAATATCTCTAGATTATTCAATTTTGTAGTAGAGAAAAGTACAGTGATTGCATTTTTTATCTATGTCCAACTACAAGGTCAAGGTGCCTTCCAATCTAATGTGATATTAAATTGGGAGGGTTCAGTGTGCCCATTCATTTTGGTGCTGTTATTTCTAGTAGCTATGTGAGCAGGAAAGCAGCAGGTGGAAGGGAGGTGTAACAGGCAAGGGCTATGATAGGCAAACACCCAGGGAATCTGTTCTATTCAGAGTAGGAAAAGTGAGTATGATAGATGAAGAGCTCCCAGGTCTTTGCCAAGTACTGTTGAGAGGTTGCTGCAGAGCTTAGGGAAAGGTGAGTTTCCCAAGATGTCCATGTATCTGCCAAATCAATATCTTTCAGAGCCCAGCAAGAGGAAGACAGATGCTGCAAGGAGGTCAGACTTCCAAAGATGCCCTGAAGCCTTCAGGAAACACTCTCAACTGTCAGAGGCACACGGATGCTGGAGGAAGGCAGCAGGCAGAATGAACGACCTTCTGTTTCCACAGTGGGTTCAAGAATAGGATGGAGAGGTTATCCATGAAAGTAATCTCTTCCAACATCCAGACTGGGCACTTGATTGCAAGTTAAAGATTCACATGTGTCATGAAGATGGTTCTCAGAGTCAAAGCAACTGCCACACGGGGCATAGAAACATTATCTTAGCACCAAGTAGTGAGCCTCCAGGGGCTGTGCCCTTAGTCAGAGTACCACCAGGCAAACAGCTCCTCTACCTTCTTCTCTCCTCCTTTCCTTTACCTCTCCTCTCAAGCTGTGTGTCCAGACAAGGCTTTCTTAGCACACCATTTTTTTTTTTTTGTATTTTCTTCTAAATGTGCCCTGAGTAGTAATGGGAATTTCTCAAAGTTATAGTCCTAGCCACAAAGGGTCAAGGAAGGAAAGGTCAGCCAAGAGACCCCAACACCCACATCACCTACCACTCAACAGAAAGCCACTATAAAAGATCTTTGCCTAAAAGGAAGTTACCCAAAAGCCTCAGTTAATCAGATCCTATGTGCTCATGGCTTCAGTTCAATAGAATATCTCCCATCCCATGACACATTCATTAGAAGAGTAACAAGAACAGATTGTGATAAATATGCTCAAATTTATTAATGTATTTTCACTAATCCAAGCATTTGTTTCACAAAGATAGTTCTAGGATATGATCTGTGGTTGTTCATTCAGACCATGAAGAAAGTATGAGAGGGAGAGGGGTGAACTTGGATCTGTGCAATGTCTTAGGAACAACGGTGAACCATGCACGAAGACAACTCCAGTATAGGGCAAGGACAAATGACATGTGGAAAGCCTGGAGATTCCAGAAAAGCTAAAGCTAAACAGTTTCCTTCTGGCAGGGCTGTGCCAGAGTGTGGCAGCCCTGCATTTAGACAGCACACTGAAAACTATAAAGCCTCTGAAGCCAGTTGTAGCAGCACTGAGCAAAATGGGAAATGGAAAAAAAGTTAGTTTTTAAGAGTAATCTTTCTCACTGTTATACTACTACCAAATACCAGTATCTTTGTATGTTCTTTGTACACCTCTCTCATCACGATATACCCAGGATGTCTGTGGATACAGCTAATTAGTTACATTCAGATTTCTCCTGGGTACCATTTTCTACCATCATCATTGGGAAATAGCAGTGTCCAAACAGACAAGTTTCTCCTAACAAAACTTTTCTCCAAATTCTTGTCTGAAAGGTTCTCCCTAAAGAGGAGAAATACATTTCCTGTCTACAGTAAAGGATCTGACTCAATGCAATGCATGTTTGTTAATCAAATAGTTAACATTGTAATTTAGGAACGTTTTAACTAGTCAGTATGTTATCAGTTTGGAAAGGAGTGGGAGATGAACACTGGGAGACAGTTTGGGGAAGTATGTTTTTCCCTTGATAAGATTGTTTTAAAACATCAACTTGACTTGTATTATGGGGAGGGTCACTCCATTAGGAGAGTCTGACATTTGCAGTGAAGAGAGAGAGAGAGAGAGAGAGAGAGAGAGAGAGAGAGAGAGAGAGAGAGAGAGAGAGAGTTTCTTCATGAGGTTTGCCATGTAAAAACCGTTACCCATACTCTGATATTGTAAAACGTGCTTGCTAGCTTTTTTCTGAATTCCAGGTAAGTCAGTGAACACTGATTTTAAATGTTAATAAAAATAAGAATTTTGGTGAGGAGGCTGATGTTCCCTCCTTGAGGGATGCTCAAAACTTTAAAAGAACAGATGAGCATATGAGCATTTACATAACTATTCATGAGCAAGACAGAAGGCAGTGGTAATTTTTAATTTAACCCCCCCCCCAGCAAACATCACATCTCTTGGTAACTCTTGGTCAGACAGACAAGGAGGGGTTGGTAATACCATTTAGAAGTCTGGAAAACGTTGCCAAAGGCTCTGAGAGTGAAGGGGAAATAATCACCAAAGGGCACTTTTTCTACACCTGGGTGTTGAATGAATGCTATAGGAATATAAGATTTGTTTTGTGGACCCAACTGATGTTTGTGTAGTAGAATATGTCGCTTCACCTCTCTTTGGAACAGCAACATGCAACTGTCCAATTAATTTTTAAAAACCCTAATAACAGCATTTAATTACTTAAAAAGACTGTCTCTCCTCTAATTATGGAAATCATTTCAAATCTTAATAATAGAACAATCATAAGACGATTCCTCAAGTCTGTCTCATGTCTCTGCAAATGTGTTTTGGGGGAAGGAGAGCAATAATCTACTCTAACCACTTTCTCTCATTAAGTGAATTTGATTAATATCTACAATATCTATTTTAGATTTATACATGATGAGAAAGGATAACTACAGAGAGTAAAAGGGTGACTAAAGAGAGGAGAGCTAACACATTCCCTTTTTGGTGTTAATTTTTGAGGCAAGAGCAACTAGAATATACATTTTTAAAAATATCTAATACCATATGATTTTATTAGTTATAACTTCCATGTTGTGTAAAAAAGCTCTCTAGCCTTTTTTTAAAAAAAATCTATATAGGGATAGAGAATAAAACAATGTTCATTAAAAATAAGAGATGGGTAGAGAGGAAATAGAAAGGATATTGTACCTGTTATTTTAGGAAATATCAATTTCCTGTATCTCACTAACCGAAGTTGGAGCAAACCCTGTCAATGAGGACCTGCAAATATTTACAATGGATATTTGTATTATGTTTACATTTGGAATAATATATATGCAGTATATGCTTATTGTCTCTAACTTCAGCAACAACATAAGAAAAAAAAATCACATATTGAGGGCATAATGCATAGTAATAAGAAGACCACGACTTGCCCAAAGTCATATATCTGAGGGAAGAGCTAGGGTTTAATTCTCATTTAAATGCCTTTCCCTATCATATTTGATCACTTAGAGTTGAGGATAAATGAACAAAAGCCAATTATGTGGGAATACTTTCAGGGTTTTGATTTACAGAATTGGAAAGGACACGAATGTGTTGCCATTCTGAAACTCCTAGAAGAGAAGACCATGATATGACATGCTCCCTGTGCACAGACCCTGAGGAGGGGTCCAGCACCCAAGCTCATCTTCCTGACTTGGATTCCTGCCTTTCCAGTATTACCAGTTCATGGGCTGTGCTGTATGTGTTAAGTATGTTTGTGTTTATTATTTATTTTGTTCTTACATGCTTTGATTCTCAGCTATTTGTTTTCTAGTAAGCCAAAGAACATTTTCCAACAGAAGAGAAGGCGCCTTACATAGTTAGATGGTTGATTATTTACATTTTTATGTTGAAACAGGCATTAGCCTTTCAGTTAAAGAAATATGGTACTAGAATTCTCAATTTATTATACCTCTTCCAACTTTTAGTTTTTATTCTGCTAAGGTTCCTAATGTTTGCACATAAATTCTGCTGATGTGTGATTAGCCAGTTGTTATCATTAGAAACAACAACAACAACACACACACACACACACACACACACACACACACACACAGACTAGACTAGCCAGTTGTTATCGTTGGAAACAACACACACACACACAAACACACACACACACACACACACACACACACACACACACACACACACACACACACACAGACTAACTTGCAGGACAAGCAAGCATAAAGTGAATGCTCTTTAAGCTTTGAGGAGTGAATCAGTTTGAATCCACTCAAGTGTTGTCCTTGACTTTCTTTCCCAGGCCGGTGAGTCAATAAGTTAGTCGAGGTGGCCCCATTGATTTACCAGAAGGAACACATTTCAACATTGGTTTGTATTTAGACAGTGCTGTTGCCCTGTAGTTTCTCAGAACACAAGAGGTTCTGCAGAAGTTGCATGGAAGCATTGACATAATGGCTTCCAATACAGATCGTGGATCCTTGGGGAGCTGAGAGTTCCTGCTGATCTTCAATAATACGAAGAATTGAAGCAACAGTCGCCACACAGCTGTGTCCACACAACTGTGTACTGTGCGCACACTACACCGCCTGCAGCTTTCCCCTACCATAGCTTGGCCGCATGAAGATTCTTCTTGTACTTCCGGCAGCTGCAGTCCCCGGGACTTTGTGGTGCTGTACACGAGCCTGGGAGCTATGGTTTAGAAAGCAGATAATTAAAAATGGGTCTGAGGAGAGGAGGAAAAGAGACCTGGGGTCCCAGGACAAAGACAACAGGGATAGCATCTAAGGTTAACATGCAAGCAAAGGCAGGGACATTTAGACCTTAGCTGGATGTGAGGAAAGGAGCCAAGTGTGGGGGGTCTTCAGCAGCAGTGCTAAGTCATCAGGGGCTCTCCATGGCATCCCCCCAAAGGGACTTCAGATGGGTTTAAGTTATTTTAACTGGTATTGCTATTTGGTAGATACAATACTTTTTTTTTGGGGGGGGGGGTAGGGGTTTCTCTGTGTAGCTTTGGAGCCTGTCCTGGAACTCACTCTGTAGACCAGGCTGGCCTGGAACTCATAGAGATCTGCCTGCCTCTGCCTCTGCCTCCCAAGTGCTGGGATTAAAGGTGTGCGCCACCACCGCCCAGTCAATACTTACTTTATGATTCTGGAATTGTTCTTGGATGAGCTACTAACTCTTTGGGTCACAAAATACCCTACTTTTGTGATTGGTAAAATCCTTTTACAAATATTAGGATCACAATAGTCTTGCGTCATTGTATACTTACTCAATCACCTTTCTGTTGCAAAGTAAGCTCAATGAATTTATGTTGCTTGCCAAAAGTGGTGGTACTCAAAAGGGTTAAAAGTAACCGTGAGAAGAATTGCGGAGAATGACATACGTCTACACATCCTTACAGAAAATGCAAAAGTTTATTATCAGCTTTGAAAGCATGAGATTTGTCTATAGTCAATAGAAACTATAGGATCCTTGTTTGAGTCATCCTGCACATCTTAGGATCATCACAGTCTAACTGTGAAGTGTGCACAGAGCCCGGGAGAAAAGACACTTTATGTAAATGTCAAACAGAGCTGGTGGCAGGGGAGAGAGGACAGTTTTTGCTTAAGCATAGGGTGAACTGGTTAGGGGCAGTCCAGAAAGGAAGGCATGGGTGGGTACCAGAGGAGAAATGTGTGGAGCTGGAAAAGATCTAAGATTTTTACAAATCTGTGTGTATTTGAGTGTGTCTCTGTGTGTATAACTATGTATGTGAGGTGCCCTTTGGAGGCCAGAATGGTGTACTAGATCATCTGGAGCTGGAATTACAGGTGGTAGTGAGCCGCCCAACATGGGTGTGAGTTAGGATCTGAACTCTGGTCCTCCACAAGAGCAGCACGGTCTGTTAACTGCTAAGCCATCTCTCTAGCCCCAGTGACACCACTCTTGCCACAGCGAGTACTGGGAACTGGATAAAGATCCGACACCATCACAGAAGCCATGTCAGATGACCAATGCGGCTTGCACTGCTCTAAGATGGCAGCTGACGAAAGGGCAGTGTGGGCCTGAAGATGCAGTTCAGCAGGCATGCGCCTGCCTTGCTTCATCCCCTGGGTCCCATGCCCAGCAAGGAAGCCTCCCCTTCCCTCCTCTTTCCCTTCCTCCCTCCCTCTCTTCCTCCCCTCTCTCTTCCACTCACTCCCTTTTCCTCTTTCCCTTGCTTTCTTCACAATTAGAAAGAAATTAAATGAATAATGATTAAAATCAATTTTTATTTTGCTTTTCTTCACATTTCCAATTTTATTAATCAGTGAAGGCTATAACAGAATTCCTTTTTAAAGCATGAACATTATGTTAGAGAAGGTAATTTTAAGGGTATTTTACATTTTTAGATATTGTCCTCCTCAGTGTGGCTGAAATTTAGCTTCTCTCACATCTTGTCTGCTCTTCTAACCCTTTTAAAACAGACTCATGGTTTGATTCACATGAATATTTAATATTTACCTTATGGTAACTGTATAAATATTTTTATGCACGAGTGCACATGTATTCTTTTGTGGAATACTATTATTTCTTCTCTCTGTAGTTTGTTTTCTATGTAATTATTGGTAATTTTCTCCAGTTTTCTCATCAGATTTTTAGAGTGCTTGCCCATACATTTCTTATTGTTCTGACAACATTACCAGTTTCTTTTGTTCCCTGGCAACACTTCCCCTGCCAACCTGTATCTGCCTACTCCACAGTAACTAATAGCGCTATCAGTCTGATCATTCTTCTCTCACAGGACTTCCTCTGGGACATTTTTTTGGTGTAAAATTTGATGTTACTGGATTTGTTTTATTTCCTTTCTTCTGGATTAACACTACTCATTTGGTGGCACAAATATTGAAAAAGAATAATTGGGAAGTAAAGTTGCTGAGAACTAAGTTATTTGATGGGTTGGCTGGGGAGAGAATTCTGGTGGGAAATTGTTTCCCTTAGTGCTTTGAGTACATTCCTTAACAATCTTAATTTCCATGGCCATTGTTAAACTGTGATGTCTGATTTTTTTTTTAAAATTTGAGTTGACTTTTTGTCCTCTTTGAAAAAAACCCTTTAGGATCTTTTCTTTATTTCTGGTGTTTGAACATTCCTCATAATGTGACAGCACATGGACTCTATTCACTTATTTCCTGGACACTCAGGAGCCCGCTTCTCTTCTCACTGCGAATAAGGAAATACATGAATATTAATTGTCTTTTGGTAACTTATTCGCTTACATTTTCTATACTTCTACTAACTGTAAATTGAACATCTTCAATAGCGCTATGAAATTATTTTCTTCTGTTCTGTTTGTTTCTCTTTCTACAGATTGTCTCAATGTTTAACTTGTAATGCTTGTTTGACTTTTATTTCTGATATTAGCATTTTATTTTGTAAGAGCTTCTTTTCTTTGTGTTATTTTTGTGGTGTATTTTACTTGCTGCTTGGGTACTGGACCTTGTTTTATTTCTCTTCCCACATTATCTTCCTATTACTTCAGTGCAGTTTTCTTTTCCCTTTATTTTTCACATCATTACTGACATGGGTCTTAATGTTCCTAGTCAGAACACAGCTGGGTTGAGGCCATCTGAGCTTTCCACTTTTCATGTGAGCATGTCTATTGGAATCAGCCTTGTTTGGGTCATGTTTAGGCCTCCATGTTGGTGAGACTTCGAGGGTGTCGTTTCTGACATTTCTAGGTGATACAATCTCACAGCAAACTTCCTGTCCCTCTGGGTCTTACAATCTTTCTATTACCCTCTTCTGTGATGATCCCTGAGCCTAAGGTGCAGGAATTGTGTTGTAGATCTCTCTGTTGGAGCTGGGCTCCACAACTCATCATTTTGATTGGTTCTAACTCTCTTTACTAGTCTCTGTCTGTTGCAAAGAGAAGCTTTCTTGATGAGGCCAGAGAATGACACTTATCTATAGGTATAAGGATAAATATTTAGAATGTAGATAGGGATAATTCTGGTTTAGTAAAACGTCAGTTGTAGGTTCTCCAAGATCCAAGACTTCACTAAAACAGAACTGAATGCAACCAATGAATGTGGGACAAATATTCTTCCCTAGGGAAGAGCACATTAACTGGTTATTCAATACCAAATAGTGATCTCTGAAACCAAATACTACAAAGTAACATTATATGGACTGAGCATGTTGGATTTATGTATTTAAGAATATACAAATATATATATATATATATATATATATATATATATATATATATATACTTAACAATAATTAAAGAAAAAGATGCCATGAATTTGAAAGAGAGCAAGCAGTGGGGTATATGAGAATGTATGGAGGGAGGAAAGGAAAGGGGGATGATGTAATTATATTAGAATATCAAAAATAAAAGAATTTAGAATGTAGTAAAATATTACTGAATTGGGCAGTTAGTTGATTCTAATGTTCACACAGATGTGATTGTCTACAGGCTTTTGTGAAGCCTTTTGTATTTACCCACTTTCTAAAATTATAAATGTTAGTAATTTATGTTGCTATCCTAAATAAATAATCAATTTTATTCTTAAAAATGATTTTAGCTCATTTCAGAAATGACTCATGAGTGAGTTACTTGTCCTAGAAGTGTAAGAATTAGAGTTTAAATCCCCAGCATTCACGTAAATGTTAGACATGTGTGGTGGCCCACCTGTAATCCCAGCGCTCTGGAGGAAGAGACAAGAGATGCCCAGAGCAATGCCCTGATTAGCTATAGGACCTAAATTAGCCAGCTCTGGGTTTATGTGAGAAGCCCTGCCTCAATATATAAAGTAGAGAACAATGGAGGAAGGCACCTGGCATTAAATTCTGGCCAGTATACAGAATTATGCACACAAGTGCATACACATACACACATTAAGAGCATCTACCCACATGCAAGCATATATATATATAATAAACTCCCCCCAAAATAAAACAAAGAAAAAGGAAGAATGAGGCTGAGATTGTATGAAGGGAGGTTTTGCTAACTAGCAGCTTCACAGCTGTTGTAGTGGACAGCAAAGCAGCCTTCTCATTAGGGGCTCCTCAGTTTTAGAACTAGAGGTATTTGGGGGGAGCTGCTCTGTCAAAAGCCATGCCTAGAGGGTGCAGTAATCTAGCTGCAAATGCCCTGGGGTCAGGAAAGAGACAGGATGCAGAGTGACTTGTAATCCAGCTCAGTACATGCTTCAGTTCTCCTTACGTACTGTGTATATTGAGTGACTCACTGTTGCTTTTTCAGATGAGCAAGAAGTATGTCCTGCTTCTGGTCTACATCACTGCTGACCATAAGAGAAGAGCAGAAAAGGGTCCTGGGATCAGGATGTCAGCTTCGTGCTTTCCCAAAGGCTTTCACCAATACTTGGTGACTCCATGTCCTCTGGTTGTGTCTTGTTTCATGCTCCTAGGCCAGCGTTCCTTTCCTCCCATCAGCTCTCCTCTCTTCTCTGTCTTCAGGGGTTGATAACTTTTTCTTCTTTGGTACTCATTTCAGTGGGGTTTCTAAAAGAAGAGGAGATAAACTGATGTGTTTGACAATAAATATAAGAGTAGAGTTAGTTAATCAACCTATTTCTTTCAGCTTCCTCGTCTATAGAGTGGAATAACAATGGTACAAGTCTTACAAAAGTGTGAGCATAAAACAAAAGTGCTTAGACTAGTATTAGCACCTGGACAGTCAATAAATGTTTGACAGTGGTATTTCCTATTATTATTGCCCAGTAAGCTAACAACTTTCTACTTGGTTCTGTGCATCTCTGGAATTAAACACACACATATATACTCTCCCTGTCTCTATTTCACACACACAGACACACATATGCACAAAAATATGTTTGAATTGGAGCATTAAGCAAGTAGTTACAATAACAGGAGAGTAGCCGTTTGTCTTATCTAGAGTTTCTATGGGTGCAATGAAACACCAAGACAAAAAAGCATGTTGGGGAAGAAAGGGTATATTTGGTTTACTCCTCTGCATTGTAGTCCACAATTGAAGGAAGCCAGGACAGAAACTCAAACAAGGCTGGAACCTGTAAGCAGGAGCTGACGCAGAGGCCATGGGGGGCTGCTGCTCACTGATTTGCTTCCCATGACTTGTTCATCTTTCCTTCTTATAGAACCCAGGACTACCAGCCCAGGGATATCATCACCTACAATGGGTTGGGCCCTCCCACATCAATAACTTATTAAGAAAAATGCTCTACTGGCCTGCCTACAACCTGATCTTATGGAGGCATTTTTTTCAGGTGTAGTTTCCTCCTCTCAGATGGCTCTAGCCTGTGGCACATTGTCATAAAATTAGCTAGCACAGTCCTCAATAAATATTTGCTAATATTTGATAACTTTGAATTTGTGACATTATTTTCTTCTTCAAGCCTGGAACTACAGAGATGGCTAAATGTTTGGGAGTGCCTAGTGCTCTTTTAGATGATCTGAGTTCAAGTCCAAACCAATCAGTTCACAACTGCCTGCTTCTCCAGCTCTAGGGGATCTGATGCTTCTTCTGGCCTCTGTGAGAACCCACATGCACATGTACACACACACACACACACATACACACACACACACACACATACACACACACACACACACACACACACACACACACACACACACACAAATAGTGATATATGGTTTTGTTTTGTTTTGTTTTGAGACAGGGTTTCTCTGTGTAGTTTTGGTGCCTTTCCTGGATCTCGCTCTGTAGACCAGGCTGGCCTAGAACTCACAGGGATCCTCCTGGCTCTGCCTCCTGAGTGCTGGAATTAAAGGCATGTGCCACTACTGCCCGGCTGTGATATATGTTTTAAATAATGAAATTTCCAATAAACATAGTATAATGATAACATGTTATTGAGGTTTTTCATGTTCTAACTCAAAAAAAAAGACTTTGATAGATTGTCTGCATTAATGTAACAACTGAAAACATTAATGAAAGGAATAGAAAATGAGAAAATATAAGAAGAGCTTTCCTTTGAACCCTCTTTATCTGTAAAGACATACCCTCCAAAATTAAAGTAATGCCTTCATCAGTTAGCTGGAGTTTCATCACTAACACTCATTACAACAGAGAATGAGAGGCTGGACTCCGCAGGAAAAATCACTCATGCTCTTGAAGAGGAGCCAGGTTTTGTTCTCAGCACCAAATGGTGGCTCATGGCCATGTATAATTTCATTTCTGGAGAATCTGACATAGTCTTCTGGCCTCCCTTCGCACCAGGAATGCATGCAGTGCACTTATATGTGTTCAGGAAATAAACTCATATACATAAAATAAAATAAATAAATCTGAAAAATCTTTTTAAAACGGGAAGTGATTGGAAGTCAATACTTTTACATAGACAAGGCATGTAAAAAACTATCATGTTTTCTGTATATTATGTGGGGACCCACAAAACTCCTATAAAAATTGTCTACAGTTGCTTTTCTTTCTGTGAAGATGCTGTATAAACTTCTAATCTTTCTCCATATTTGATTTCATTTCTTTTCTGTATATCCCTGTATATACATTGAATGCATTTCCTTTACTTTTGAACAATTTACCAGTTGTAAGATTATTAATAGTTCAGTTACATAGTGTTGTACAGTGGAATACAGGAACGGGAAGTATTTCCATCCTATGGTTCGTATATGAATGTTTCATAATGTAATTACTCTGTTATTGTACCCTAAGAATGCCTGAGTTTTTATAATTATGAAAGTATTAACTTTATATAATTATTCTCCACCTTTTTATCATTTTATTGGTAGAAGTTTTTAGAAATATAATGTTATGTCTTAGAGCATAGGAAGATCATAATCATGTTGATATCTCTTTCTTGATTATATTAAAGTGCTTCCTCAAATTTTCTTGCAGCATGTGTTTTTAAAACAAATACAATGTAAAAACTATATTAAAAAACAAACCTTGTCATTATATGCTATGTATTTGAGTAAAATACAAGCCTTAATTTAGATATCAATATATCAAGCAGGAATTTAGAATTTTTCCCAAATTTTAGCAATGCTGTTTCCAATGCAAGTATTTTAAAGGAACATTAATTAATTTACCTCCATTCTATGAATATCATAAAAGAATCCCGTTATAAGACATTGCATTGTGTATTGCTTCATTTCTTTAAATTTTATGCTTTTGAGGAGATGGAATTTTTTTCCTGTTATGTTTGCTCGTGATAATGCTAAACTTTCCATTTTGTATTTAATTTTCCTAGAACTTTCAAGTTGAAATGCTTATTTTAAATATTTTCTGGTGTACTGTTACAATTCCTTCTCTTATTTAAATCCCAGCTCAGTAGACAGGAAGGATATTATTTTGCTATGACTGTTCTGCAGAGCAAGTCATGTATCTGTTGACTTGTAGCTTAGGATAGATGAGTCAATGCTCCTGCAAATCAAAGAGTAACTTGCTTTGAAGGTTTACACCAAGGACTTAGTGTCATGTGATCAGACAATCTGTGGATGTGGACTGTGCTGTCTCATTAAACTGCAAAGACAGAACAGAAGGATGTGTGTTAGTGCACACTGGGGTCACATGTGAAGTTCATGGGCAAGTTGTTGTGGTATATTTGTACACTATGTGAAGACGCATTTACTATGATTGGTGTAATTAAAAGCCAATCAGGCAATAGCTAGGCAAGAGGTATAGGTGGGATTTTCAGAGAGAGAAAGGAAGAGGAGGAGGACTCTAGGTGTACAGGAGATGCCAGGAGACTTAAAGAGGAAACAGGATGTGCAAGATAGAAGAAAGGTACCACCACCTGATAGAACATAGATTAATATAAGAGGGTTAAGTTATAAGAGCTAGTTAGAAGCAAGCCTAGACTCTAGGCTGAGCTTTCATAATTAATAACTCTCCATGTCATTATTTGGGAGTTGACTGGTAGGACAGAAAGACTCGTTACAGCCAGTCTCCATTGGGTATAAAATATAAATCATAACTAAAATTGCAATCTATTTCAATATTCTGAAATACTTTAAAACCTTTTCCCCTGTTTAATTATATTTGAAAATTTCTTTAAATTGCTTTAGAACATAATCCTCTTGTCCTGAGTTTCATGACTGTGGTTCAGCTGAGAGAATTAAGAAAGACACAGGGAGCTAAATGCAGCAACTCCTTAAAGACATCCATCCCGGCCTTCCTCCAAGTATATGAAAATTAGATCAAACCATGGGCCCTTCTTGCACAGTGAATCATTTTGTTCCTGAGATTGAATTTTCCTGAGTGAAAAGCCTCCCTAAAATGGAAAGCCAAGCTATCTAAGAAACACTCAGAATGTTTCGTGGAGGCAAACCTTGATGGGAAACTGCCTTTAGGGCTGGAAGAAATAAACCTACAAATTATGTATCTGGGACATTGGAGATGAGACTCTGATCCAGCCAAATCCATTCTGACTCTAATAAAACAATTCTGTCTGATATGTATGTATCTATCTATATCTGTACCTGTATCTGTATTGAAATTTCCCATGAGCTCCTAGTTCTTACCTTCCTTAAATAGTTGTAAACTAGAAACACTTCTTTGTTTTGGGGTTTCTTGAGGCTATCCCGATTTTAGGACATGGTGTTGCCATTATGGAGTCTTGACAAGGAGTGAGCATACTGTGATTTCCTGCATCTTCCCTTGTACTTTGTTGGCAACTTGAAGAGACTATTTTAAAAAACTGTAAAGATACACTAACAAAATTTTACACATCTGGTCAAGGGCCTGGGCAGTTGTGGAAATATTTAACACTTATACTTCCCCTACAATGGACATTATAGGTAAATCATAGTGCTTCTCAACCATGGTTTCCATCACTAGCCACAGGATCAAGATTGCACAAAAGCAGCTTCTGCTCATCAGGAGTCAGTTGACTACAAATAACAGAGCCCATGTTCTCAGGAAGAAGTCTGGCCTGCTTTGTTTGCTGAGCATACAAAATAGTTACGTTTGGGGACACCTGCTTTCCAGGCAAATGGATGAAGTGACAGCAGAGAGATGAGCATTCCCCCTCCCGTACAGAAGACAAAGCCAAATGTACCCTCACTTATTATTTTTCTAACATCACCTTCTCCAGAGACTGATGTCCCCACATCACAAATTTTATTAATATTCTTAAACAAATGGACTTTCACATATTTTATGACCTAAAGTAGTCAAAAATTTCATATAGCTACAAACTACTATGAAACAAGACAAAACAAACCATAAAACACTGCTAATGAGCTCTACACATTGTGTATTAGATTAAAACAGATAATTATTTATGTGATTATAATATGCTATTACTTTAGTTAGGTATTTTTTGAAACTGCGTTTGTTGTATAGACCTGGTTGGCCTGACGTTCATATGTAGACTAGGCTGACCTTTAACTTTTGATAAATTCCTCCCCCGCCTTTTTAGTTGAAAATAGATTTTTTAATACAATATATTCTAATTATGGTTTTTCTTCCTGCTGTGGGATAATGATCTTGCATACTATAAAGATTTGTCATTTGAATTGGTTTAATAAAATGCTGGTTG